CAAGGACTACCTGTATCATCATCCTCTTTTAATGATCCCCTAATCCCTTGCGGGTTGCAGTCTGGGCCACTGAATGGAGCTGAGCGTTTACTGGCCGGATGCCCTTACTGTTGCCAACGAGGAGTTTTTTTTCAGCAGATATATTCTCATTGTGGCCAGAGAGAGAAATATCTGCCTCTAACCTAGGATCGAACTCATAGCCTCCTGATTGTGAGGCAAGAAGTCCACCTCACCACTCTCAAGGACTACCTGTATGTAGTCAAATAAAGCACAATGGCCCATGAATTCAATTCCTGATACATTAAGAGGGTTTGAAAACCTACCCACCCCAATTTTTCTTTACATCTAGAGTCCCAAAAGGGATACAAAACAGTCACCTACACCCCCCAGGAGGTTAATATAACTGAATTATCATCAAACAGAGCATTAATTGTGAAAAACAAGTAAGTTCCATGTAAACAGTCATGTAAAATGTTGCGGACAGGGTCATAACGAAATATAACACCTATATAATTCTCTCTGACAGCTTAAGGGACGGAAGGTTGCATGTAACATTAAGAAACAGAAGGGCAGGAAGTCCTCAACTTCTATGCCACCATCGAGGCCAACATTTCCGTTGTTAAGCAAGACAGTTTCTTCAGTGAGTTCTGCCCCCTTTTTACGACTTTCCTGGAGTTAGTGACCACGGCGATGAAGCGAATGCGGCTTCCGCATTGACTTTGCTTGCCAGAAATTCACAAAGGGGATGGCGTGACTGCAACCCGTCATAAATAGGAACCAAGCTGCCAAGCGTCCGAATTCGAGGCAATGCTAAAAAAAACAGTCATAGATATGAAACATGGTCATTAAGTAGTGCCGTTGTGACTCTGAAGAGTCAACTAAGTGAGCGGTTGTAATTCCAGCACCAGAGGGGGTCATTCAGCCGGTTCTGACCGGTTCTGAAGAACCAATAGCGGAAATTTTGAGTAGTTTTAGAAAACTGGCAAATCCCACCTCTGACTGGCCCCGCCCTCATCTATTCCCTGCCTCCCGAGTTCCAACTGATTGGCTGGGTCTTCTTTGGTTGCCCTGCACAGGAGAATGGAGCTGGAAAGCAGGTTAGTGGGCTGGGTAGGGAATGGGGATTTTGCAGTCTCCTTCCCCTGCAATGCCCACCAAGCCACGCCCACCAAGCCAAGCCATGCCCACCAAGCCATGCCTGCCAAGCCATGCCCACCAAGCCAAGCCACACCCACCAAGCCATGCCTGCCAAGCCACGCCCACAGAACCAGTAGTAAAAAAAATTGAATTCCACCACTGTCCAGCACTACCTACAGTCTTACTGCCGGCCACTTAGCAATTGTTTGAAAAGTGGACTTATGACCTGGTTTTGAAATTCTGACACCTTGCATTTCTGCCACTATGCAAACTGGCCCTCATTTACAACTGTTTGCAGAGTCCTATAATCACAACTTCAGATTTTTTTTCCCCAAAACCGACATTTCCGTCCACAAAAAAAGGCATAGAATCAGGTCCAGGCTTGTGGTGACCCACTTTACAACCATCACAGCTTGCGACCATCATTGGCATCCTCAATTACAGTCATAAGTCGAGGACTTCCTGTAAAGATGATGGTGGTGTTGTTTTTTTCATTCTCTTGTTTGCAACTTAGAAAAGAGAAATAAAATTTGCAGATTATCGTTGCAGGTAGCCTGGTCTGCCTACACAATGCAAAAAATGTTATAAATTAGATTTTTGTTCGATATCAAGCCAAGTCGTAACTCAACGAGTCAACGAGTAGTCCTTAATGGGTTTAAATCTACATGGAGGGAAGTAAACAGTGGGGCGCCACAAGATTCTTGTCTTAAGCCCAGGACTCTTCAATATCTTCATTAACGACTTAGATAAGGGAATAGAAGGGGAAATTACCAAATTTGTAGATGATACTAAGCTGGCAGGAATATCCAACACCCAAGAAGATAGGCTCAAGATCCAGATGGATCTCGACAGACTAGAACACTGGGCCGTATCTAACAAAATAAAATTCAATGTAGAGAAAAGTGAAGTCCTACACTTAGGCACGAAAAACCAAAAGTGCACATACAGACTGGGTGAAACCAGGCTCAATAGCAGTAACTGTGAGGGGGATCTTGGAGTCTTAGTGGACAACCAGCTAAATAGGAGCCAGCCGTGTGCAGCAGCCACCAAAAAAGCTAACGCAATCCTAAATTGCATTAACAGAGGGATACAATCGAGATCAAGCCACTCTATAAAGCCTTAGTAAGACCACACCTAGAGTACTGCATCCAGTTTTGGTCACCACACTATAAAAAAAATGTTGGGACTCTAGAAAAAGTGCAGAGAAGAGCAACCAGGATGATTAGGGGACTGGAGGCTACAACATACAACAAAAGGTTGCAGGAACTGGGCTTAGTTAGTCTAGGGAAGAGAAGGACCAGGGGAGACATGATAGCGGTCTTCCAATATTTGAGGGGCTGCCACACGAAGAAAGGGGTCAAGCTACTTTAGAAAATAGCTTAGGCCAGACAAGGAATAATGGATGAAAACTGATCAAGGAGAGATTCAACCTGGAAATAAGGAGAAACTTTCTGACAGTGAGAGCAATCAACCCATGGAACAGAAGTTGCCTTCGGAAGTTGTGGGAGCTTCATCCCTGGAAGCTTTCAAGAAGAGACTGGACTGCCATCTGTCAGAAATGGGGTAGGGTCTCCCGTTTTGCGGGGGAAGGGCTGGACTCGATGACCTAAAAGGTCCCTTCCAACTCTGTTAATCTGTTAAGTCCCTATGTACAGGTAGTCCTCGACTTACAACAGTTCCTTTAGTGACCGTTCAAAGTTGCAACGGCCCTGAAGAAAAGCGACACAGAGACATCTTTCACATGACCATCGTGTGACTTACATTCGGGATGCTTGACAACGGACTCGCATTTATGACGGCTGCAGTGTCCCGGGGTCATGTTGACCCCTCTTGGTGACACAAGCAAAGTCCACGGGGAAGCCAGATTCACTCAATAACCATGTTGTCTAACTTCACAACAAAAGGTCGTAAAAGGGGCCAAACTCCAACTTAAACAAATGTTTCACTTAGCAACAAAATTTGGGGGCTCAAATGGTGGCCGTTAAGTCGAGGATTACCTGTCTATTGCCCCTACCATCCTCCATCTTTGGAAGGCCGAGTCAACCCTTGAGCCAGTCAGGATCGAACTGTTGGCAGTCGGCAGAATTTGCCTGCAGTACTACGTTCTAACCACTAGGCCACCGTGTCTCTGTTATGATTTCGTTCTGGAAAGTAACCCGGGCAGGCAAATCCCCAAGTCCCCACTTCGATATCAATTCTCTCTTCCCCCACCCCGCCTTCCCCCAAATAACAAGACTTATTCCACTGGGACAAAACTGGCCCATTAAGAATATCAAAAAGTTACAATTCAGAGTAGTCTCAGTTTAGGACTTTACACTGTCCTGGGAAGGATGGACTCTTCTGTTAAGAGACTGGGGATTCTCCCTCCACTCACTCTTCAACCATCACCATCCATCTTCGCTGTCAAAACTGGACAAGGCCCCTTGGAAGTTCGACACAAGTCTGCGTCATCGGAGGAGGAGGTGGCGAGGCTGGAAGAGGAGGATGGGGCCTCCAGAGGGCATCGGGCCACTCTCGCCATCCGATTTTCCTTGGATGTCGAAATAGAAAGAACCCTGCAACCTTTCAGGACACTCCAAAGTTCAACCCAAGCCTGCATTATTTGGAGGGGAGGCTGGAAGAGGAGGATGGGGCACCCAGAGGGCATCAGGCAGGGCAAGGCTTTCCCAAGTAGTCTTCCTTGCCCTACCAATGAGCGGGGGCCCCACTTCCCTCGCCCTCCAAATCCATACCTCACCCGCCTTGCCCCTTTGTATTGGGGGGGGGGGCGCTCCAATTCCCAATTCCTGGTAAGGATGGACTGATCCGTTAAGAGCCTTGTGATTCTCCTGCCAATCAATCACTCTTCCACTGTCACCATCTGAACTTTCCTTTGATGTCCAAACTTTTCAGGACCACCCCCGGAGTTTGACACAAGTCTGCGTAATCGGAGGAAGCAAGGGTGGAAAAGGAGGATGGGGCACCCAGGGGGCATCAGGCAGGCCCAAAGTCTTTCCCAAGTAGTCTTTCCTTGTCCTACCAGTGAAAGGGGAGGGGGGGTGGCACTTCCAGGGATTCCTCGCCCTCCAAGTCCACACCTCGCCCGCTTTTTCCCTTTTATATCTGGGGTTCTGGAGGGGCTCCCCCAAATTCCTGGGAAGGACGGGCTGTTCCGTTAACAAGACTCGTAATTCTCCTGCTGCTCCCTCTTAACAATTGTCACCATCCGACCTTTTTTTTTTTTTTTTGATGTCAAAAGGACCCTGTGACCTTCCAGGACGCTCCAAAGTTCAACATAAGTCTGCATATTTGGAGGTGAGGCTGGAGGAAGAGGATGGGGCACCCAGAGGGCATCAGGCAGGCCCAAAGTCTTTCCCAAGTCGTCATCCTACCAGCAAGGGGGGGGGGGTGTCACTTCCAGGGATCCCTCGCCCTCCAAGTCCACACCTCGCCCGCTTTGCCCCTTTTTGTCGGGGATCCTGGGGGGGTGGGGGGCTCCTCCAAATTCCTTGGAAGGATGGGCTGTTCTGTTAAGAGACAGAATTATTCTCCTGCCACTCACTCTTCAACTGTCACCCTCCGACTTTCCGTTGATGTCAAACCCTTCAAAACACTCCAAAGTTTCAACACGAGTCTGCCTAATCGGAGGCTGCGGTGGCGAGGCTGGAAGAGGAGGATGGCGGCACCCAGAGGGCATCAGGCAGGCCCCAAATCTTTCCCAAGTCGTTCTTCCTTGGGCGGGCCCACTTCCAGGGGTCCCTCGCCCTCCAGGTCCGCACCTCTTGGCCCCTTTATATCGGGGTTTTCCCCCCCCCCCCCCCCCCCCCCCCCCCCCCCCCCCCCGTCCCTCCCCCCCCCCCCCCCCCCCCCCCCCCCCCGAAGGACTAAAGGCTGGAGTAAGGAGCCCCGCGGCTGTAGCCGTAATCGTAGGGCATGGCCGGCGGAGGCGGCAGCGGCGGGCAATCCGCAAAGAAGGGAGCCGACGGATCCGAAACGGCGGCGACGGCGGCGTAGAGGGCCGGCAAGGGTCGCAAGGGGGTCTCGGCGTAGAGCAGAGGCGCCAACGACGGCAGCGGCTCGTACAACGGCGGCTCCAGAGGCAGCTCCGCCGCTGCTTGCAAAGCCGAGCCGGGGAAAACGGGTGGCGGCGGTTCGGCGGCTTCCTTCAACAAGGCTCGGTAATCGGGAGCCGTCAGCAACTCGAAGAGCTCTTCGGCCACCGACGGAGCGGCGGCGGCGCCTCCTTCCAAGCCGGCCGGGTTGGGAGCCCGGTTGGGAGCCGCCGGTTCGGTGAAGAAAGAACGGGGAAGGTTGCGGTTCCGCAGCGGCACTTTTTTGCAAGCCAAGGGAGCCGGAGGGACGACGGCGGAGGCGGAGGCGGAGGCTGCACGATCCTGGAGGCCGCTCGCGCCGTGGCCCGGCCCGACGGGAGCTGAATCCGGCGTTGCAACGAGCGTCGTCGGGGCTCCGCCCGGCTGGAAAGGCGACGAGCGCCACGAGTCGAAAAGCGCCGCTAAACTTTTGCTCTCGCGTTTGGCCGGCGGGGGAAGCTTGCAGGAGGAGGAAGAGGAGGAAGAGGAAGAGGAGGAGGAAGCCGCCGCGCTGCCGCCGCCGCCGCTAGAAGGCGCCGTCGAGGCCGGGGCCTGCTTGCTCGCTGGGACGGCGGCGGCGACGACTGCCGGCCCGGGAACCGAACCGGGCCCCGTCCCGGGAGCCGCCTCCGCGTTGCCTCCGAGGAGGCCGGTGCATCGCTTGATCTGCTTCTGCAGGTACTTCCGATGGTTGACTTTCCGCTTGGATTTGCCCGGCTTGTCCAAAGCCAGCTTGATGTTGCTGGACGCCGAATCGATGAAGCTCAGCAGCTCCCGGGTGGCTTCGCGGAAATCGGCCGCTTCGTTGTTGCAACCGTCGAGGGCACCGCATGAGCCGTCGGTCGCCCCGCCGACGCCGCCTTCCAGCAACAGCAGCGTCCCGCCGCCGTCGCCGTAGCAGCTCTTCTCCACCAGCGCTCCGAAATCGGCCGCCGGGAAGCCGAAAGGGCCGAAGGGGTGATGGGGAGGCGGGAGAGGCGCCGCTTGCACGGCCATCGCGGTAGGGGTTTTTTTTTTTTTTAGTGCGGGCTTGGCGGAGGGAAAGGACGCCGAGGAGGAGGAGGCCCGGCTGGACCAAGCATCTTTCCGGCACCGGGGGCTCCGCGGGGGGAGTTTGGAAGCCGGGCCGGGCCGGGTTGCCTGTTGCCGGGGCCGCCGCCGCCGCCTCTGCAAAGTCGGAGAAGCTGCGAGCGATGATGGCGCGGCTGCTTTCTCGCCACCCCTCCCCTCGGCTTTCACTTGGCGGCCGGAGGAGGAGGAGGAGGGGGAGGGCGGAGGGACGGGAAGGGGCTCGTCTGGGGCGGAGGGAGGAGGAGGGGGGCGGTTAACTCTTGAATGGCCTCGAGCGACAAAGTTGTGTGTGTGTGAGAGAGAGACAGAGAGACAGAAACAGACACCGGACAGAGAGAGACAGGCAGAGAGAAAAAGAGACAGACAGACAGACAGACAGACAGACAGAGACGAGAGACACAGAGACAGACAGACAGACAGACAGAGAGAGACGACAGAGAGAGAGACACACACAGAGAGAGACAGACAGACAGACAGGCAGGCAGAGAGAGACAGGCAGAGAGAGAGAGAGAGAAGACAGACAGAGAGAAAAAGAGACAGACGACAGACAGACAGACAGAGAGGGAGAGGCACAGAGAAGACAGACAGGAAGACAGACAGACAGAGGAGAGACACAGAGACAGACAGAGAGGGAGAGACAGAGAAGGCAGACAGACAGACAGAGAGAGACAGGAGGACAGGGACACACACAGAGAGACAGAGAGAGACAGACAGACAGACAGACAGAAAGAGGCAGACGGAAAGATAGAGAGACAGAAGGACAGAGAGACAGACAGACAGACAAACAGACAGAGACACACAGACACAGAGACAGATGGGGGGGATTTGACGTCTATAGAAAAGGGAGGTGGGACCTTCTTCCCAGAGTTTTGGACTCTTCCATGAGAACCTCAGGACAGGGTTTTTTGTGGGGAGGAGATTCAGAAAGGAAGTTTTGCCAGGGTTACTTTTTAAGGGATTTCTACAGTTGTTACACTTTCCAGGCTGGCTTCCATCTCGGAGGTCTCCTGGTGGTCTCTCATCCGGGGGTCAACCAGGAGTAAGTGAAAGGACACAAAAAGCAAAAGAGAGAATAACAAAGTTGGGAGCGTCTAGTACAGGGGATCTATCTATATATTGATATCTATATCTATCTTCCATCTATCTGAACATGGAGGTCTATATCTATTTATGACTACAAATAATGAAATCTATATCTATCCCTGTCTGTCTATCCATCCTTCCTTCCATCCATCCAACTATGCAGATATATCTGTACATCTCTATCTATCTATCTATCTATCTATCTATCTATCTATCTATCTATCT